GTTTTTGATTCAGAGTGGAATTAATACACTTCATGTGCATAATAATGGATTTCTGTATGTTAGACTGGCCTTCAGTGGACAGGTTCCATTCAACAGTGATTTTATGGTGGCCTTTCCACACTGGCAACATCTCAGCTTCACAAAGATTCATAAAGGGACTAAAACTAAGTCCTGAACTCCAGCAGAGTTTACTGTAATTGTGAAATACAGTATTGTAGTTTAGGGTTATGAGCTTCATACTCATTTTCTCTCTAATACTTAATGGCTGGCCAGGTTGACCTCTGTTGAATGGCTGTTCACCAAAGTTTCAGTATATGGGCACAGAGAATGCAAGCTTCAGTTTTATTTGCATGGAGACATATTTCCACAATGAGAACATCTTAGAGCTTGTGGAAGAATCTTGAATTAGGCCTGCCTATACTTTGTACACCCATTTTTTTATAGTCCCGAACAACATTTGTCTTCCTTTTTAGTTTTATTGTGTTGATTTTCTTCTTCAGATTGTTCATCAGAATCAATGCAGATTACCCAGCCATCAATATTAATTATAGACAAATTATTTATTATAGACAATTGCCCCCAAAAATGTTTACCCCAAATTGATTTACTTTAGCACTTAAGTTTTTAATTACTTTATGCACTGATTAAAATAATATTCCTTCTATACGTATTAATTTAAATGACAGCAGGAAAAAAAGATTACTTGTAGTGTAGTTGATGTAAAAAGTGGTCAAATGTAGGAATGATTAGCTTATGATGTACAGGAAGAAAAGTAATTAAAATAATAATAATGGCATTAAATTACATGTTGAGTAGAAGCTTTAGTTTTTAATTAGACTGAGCATACATGCACCCTTTTCGTATTTTTTTCCTATTCACATAGAACATCATTAATTTTGACATCTCTGACTGTGGTAACTACTAAACCAATTTGTTTCACCTCATCTTTTCTACTCAGGGCATTTTTCTAAGGGACATTTTGGTGCATTTTTGGATGTAGAATGGCTGAAAGCCTAATTGAAACCTGAGAATGAATTGGATTATTTAGATCCTTTTTACTCTGTTAACCCAGATATGCACTTTGTTGCATGGTATCTCTGTAGGTAGTGAACACTAACTCAAAATTATTTTTCCTTTCGAGTGGCTTTAGACAAGCTGTTGTGAAATAATCAATTTCTCAGAAAATTTCAGTCTTTATTTGTATTTTACAACTCCATTTTTCAGGGTTGATGTGCATCTGTCCAGCTGATTTGCAGCCCTTTAGTGAAAATAACATCCAGTCAGAAATAAATGGACTATTGGTGATAGAAAATCATTTAGTCTTACTTTTTCAGGCACGTTCAGAATGGTTTGATCCAGAAGTTGTTTTAAAGTATGTTTTTAATCTTCACATCAATACTGTCATGACTGGTGGGAGACTGGGGATAGCAGGCAGGAGCTGGGAGCAGCTGCAGCCCCTTCTGTTTCTTGGAAACCAAATGGATGAAATGAGGAATTCTCAGCCCTGTTGTCCTGGGAAAACCAAATGTCTCTGCCTTGCTGTTGTAATCTGTCAAGGCAGGGAATTTGTCATTCTAACTGACATAAATTCTGAGATGATGAATTTGGGTCTTTTGTTTTTCTCACATAAAAAAAAAGGGTGAGAGGAAAAGAGAGGGAGTCAGAACATATTTTGATCCATTTACACTGTTAAATCTATGGATTTGAGCTTTATGCTTCCTGTAACAGAATGTTATGAGGGTTTTTCCCCAAATATTTTCCTTGTTTGGCTTGCTTGGCTGATTGCATCCAAATGACCAGATACTTTCAGAGGTCAGAACTGCTTCCAGATTGCTTTGTAAACTTTAATACCATCTGTTTATCAGCTCTTGAAATGCTGGAGAAAAGTGGATTATTACTGCACATATTTGCTGACAGTCCTTGATATTGAACTTTGCTCAGGCCACCAGAAGAACTTTACAAGATGGAGAATATCCAGATTTCATATTGTTTAATAAAATTTTAGAAGTTACATTGGTTTTTTGCATTTGCTTAATCTCTGCAGGCTTGGCAGCCCTGTTGCTGAGGTACTTCCAGTTATGACTTTTCTATTTTACCATCTAATGTTCTGTGTGTGCATTTTTTCTTTCACAGCAGGTGTCTAGGGCAGTTTGAGTTGTACAAAGGGATATGTACTAATTAAAAAAAACCCAACTTTGAAGAGCTGAGGGAAAGCACCAGTATGTAGATAAATTAGTCACTTCAGCATAGTCTCATGGAAGGTTAATATGATCAGTTTTGTCAGAAGATGCCATCTCACTGATCTGGTGTTCAAATAAAATGACACTATTTGGGTGTAGCTGTTTTTTTATTTAGAAAGTAGTAACATTATTTCTTAATCACAGGACAAAAGCCATAATCTATAGTGTATATTTAACTCTGCCATTCATCAGACCTTTTATGTGCCACAGGAGAAAAGCAAAATCTGGTGATAATAAATTGCACCTCTAATGAAACAGTATATTCAAATGCAATCATGTCTCTGATGCTATTTTAACAATTTTTAACATCTGTTAATGAATAAGATTTTTTTAAAAGAGAAAATGGATGTATCTAACCAGCATTACTCTAAGATTTCATCTCAAACGTAAAATGTTCTATTGAAGAGGTGTGATAATAATTATCATCACTGCTGTTGTCGTGTCTTTGCTACTAATTTCGTAGGACATGTTAAAAATACTATCCTTAGAATTGCTATTCTTACTTGCTGTGAAGAGAGATCTTCAATTTTAGCATATGTGTTTCAGAACTGTACTGTAGCTGTTGCTTAACTCCATAGCAGCCTCTAAAAGAAATCTTTATTTTGCTGTTTTGCTCTCTCTCTGCTTTTCCCACTCTGGTTATGTCTTTATCTACACACTTGGCAGCCTTATTTCTGAATCACAGTTGGAATTGCCCAAATGTAGAGGCCTCGTAATGTCCATGATCATCAGCCATTTCATCAGGTTTGGATAGGGAGCAGCTTGGCAGCCTTTTTTCAATCACAAAATTGCACTTCATTCTTCAATATGACCTTCATTTAGAAGGTTCTTTTGTTAGTTTTGATTCATGCATGCAGAATATAATTTTTTATTCTTTCAGTCTTAAGGGTTCCAGGAAGATGGGATTTCTGGGAAACTTGGCTGGGGAACGACTTGCTTGAGAGCTGTACTTTGAGCCCATTAATACATATTATACCTACTGAGAAACTTTTTGCCCTTTTTGTTTGGTTTAGAGTATACCTGTCAATCTGCATTTCAGATACTTTTGCTTTTTTTCTGCTGTCAGTAGAACAAAGCCTCCTTTGCAATCTGGTCTTGAAGGTTGGATGTTTAAATTTTGGTGCTGGCAAATATTATGAACATGTATTTTGTGCAATATTTCACTTTTCAAAGACAAGATGAAAACAGTGTTTAGAATTTCTAATCTAACATTTAGCTATCTTACACCTTAATCAAACACATAACAGAAAAGATCAATACACTTCTGCATCAAGTTAACTCTGAGGCCAGTGTATACAAGAAACTGGGGAATGAAAATTATCTCATTACTAAGGAAAATCACTTAGCTTATAAATTTTTTATGAAAGACCATTAATAAAGCTACAGATCAAATTTAGTATCCTCTATGCTCACTTCAGTGAAACTTCTTCCAGTCCAGAAATTAGTTTAAGCAGTTTTTAAAATGTGTCATTTTGGGTTTGGGATTTTTTCAGTAAGAAAATAAGTACAGACACATTTTTTCCTCCTACACATCTTCTGCTCAGCAAGATAAGTGTTTGATTGAAACATATTGTCTGTTCTGTGTGCATATTATAAACTATGCAGAACACTTTGGTCAGGATTTTGCCAAACGGGTGCTCAAAATTATATATTAATAATGTGTCTTAGTTTTATTATTTGAACTTGAAAATTACAGCTTTTGTCAGGTTCTGCTGAGGTAGAATAATTTTGTGTACAACCCATCTTTCTGGTTCAAGAGATTTGATTATTGCAGTACTTTGGTTGTGAAGAGAAAAACCATCGAGCAATTTACTGGTGCAGAGTAGAGCCACTCTCACCTCTTGGGTTACAGCAACCCTCAAACATGTTCTTTCTAAAAGCACATGCTTCTGCTCAGGTGTTTTGTCTTTATCCATGAGTTTTCCGCAACTGTGGTCTTGGTTGCATGAGAAACCAACCATTTTTTCTTGTCCTCATAACAATGAAAATCAGATGGTACGTTCAAAATTACTTTCCCTACTACTTCTTTCCTGGTGTGCTGGCAGGATGTCTGTCCTACTGCTCTGAAACTTTTCTGGTTGCTCTGATACAACAGTGACAGCCTTTCTGTTATAGATGTGGAACCACAATCAGTTTTTGTCCTCAAGTAGTTTTTTGAGACAGATTGTCAAAGCAGCACAGGACAGTTCATTTGAAGGAATGCAGTTTTCATGCTTTCTTTTTTGAAAGGGTAAATGTCTCTAAATTTTGCACTGCACTGATGTGCCAAGACAATAATCAAGTTAAATTAATTGTAAGAGATTGGGATGCTGGTACAAAGCCTTGGTCTGCTTTAAGAGTGGACGGTGAGGTAGAACATGCAGAAACCACCTGAAAAGGGATTTATACAACTGCAAAAAAGATTTTTCTTGGGTTGTTACTCTCCAAGTTGTGCACTTGCCAAGCCATTGTTTTTAGTGTGGGTTTTTGTGTGGTTTTTTGTGTGTTTTCTGGGGACTTGGGTTTTGTTTGTTTGGATTTTTTTCCTTAAGAACAAAACAAAACAAATACATTAGATTGTAAGTCAGCAAGAACATTTGTTACACTCCAAATCTTAGAAACATTATACTGTTCAGGCTAATGCCTGCATGGGTGAGGGACGTACAGGAGGCACGTTTACCATGCAACCTTTTTATATATAATATTTTTTCAAAGGGGATTGATTTGAAAGCAGTTATTTTGAGGAGAACTCAAACAGCTGACCTCTTTCCCCCATTGCAGCTGCACTCTGAGCGTCACCCTGGAGCAGGCCATCACGCTGGCCCGGAGCCACGGGCTGCCCCCTCGCTACATCATGCAGGCCACGGACGTCATGCGCAAACAGGTGAGAGGTGCTGGCTGTGCTGGCCTGTAGGGACACAGCTGGTGGTGACTGGAGTGGGGAGTGGGCTGCAGCTGTGAAAAACGGGTGAACAGCATTGAAAGGAATGAGCCATGGAGTGCCCAGGTGACCCGTCACCAAAGGGAACAGGTGCAATGCATGAACAATCAGGGGTATAAAAGGTTGGGCTAAAGAACAAGAGGGGCAGATGCTTGCAGCCTGCTGACGTGGTGTTATTCTGTATGGGCAGACACCTGAAGTCTTCTGATGTAGTGTTATGTTACTCTGTATGGGTTGAAGCTTTCTCAAGTCGTTCCTATGCTGATACTCTGTGTGTTGTGGCTGTCTCAGCTGCGATGTATGCTGAGACAGGGGAGACCTGTGTGCTTATCAAACAGCAATGACTCAACCAAGCTTTTTTAGCCTCCATCCTAATGTTGTGCATTGTCTGAGTCCTCTTAGTTTGGTGTCTTATTGTTTGTGTTTTCACCTTTTTTTTTCAAATTTTCTTCCCTTATTGTTGAAGGTGGGTTTTTTTATTTTTTAGTACAGAAACAGGATATCTTTAACCAGATGTTTGCTTTCTCTTACAATTTTACTAAGTGATTTTTGTATAGTAACTGCCTTGGTGTCACCTTACATCATAAGAGTCTGTTGAGTAAGACAACTTTTATCTTAATATATATGATTGATAAAAACAACTTAAGATTATTAACTATTGCCAGTAAAAAGTGACTCATGCGCTGAATTAAGGGGAAATGTAGAAGGAAAGGAGAGAAAAAAATACCATTGTTTTTAACTTTCCAGGCAAGATTCCTGAGGACAATGTCCTTATTACAAAACTGTTTTTCACTCTTTGGTTATCATAGGATATTAGGATTTAGAGGCTGTTTTGCATAGATAACCACCTCAACATGAGCTCTTGGTGTGAAGGTATGCCAAAAATACTACATTAAAAAGTAATATCAACTGAAAATGGGGGGTACACTCTACTGTATTAACACAACATTTTCTAGAGTATCTTGTTATCAGAAAATACTTTCCAAAGGATGTATCTTGGAAGGACTTCGGGGGAGGAACATGAATGGTCCAGAGGTTGTTAGACAAGACTTATAAACTGAAGATTAAAGAGCTCAACCTGTTCAGTTGATGAAAGAGAGGTTGAGGGGGGACTTAATCACTCTGCATGCATATGGAACATATATCCCAGCCTGTGGTAGCTTTCAACCTTACAACAATATCAGAAGCAAAACATAGGATGCACTCAGTCTTGAAGAGAAAGAACTCCATAATTAAATATTGTAACAATCACAGATAAGACAAGGTTCATAATTTCTGGGTTCTAGATGGCACCTAATTTATTATGTTCATTAACTTTGCTATGTGTTTTATGCAGCAATCACAGTTATAAAGATTATTAAAAATCTGTACTTCTATCTTGCTATAGAGAAAAATATGTGTATGCTGGGTGTGACCTTTGGTCTGTTAAAGCAATTTTGTGGATGGTTTCAAACCACAGATTTGCATCAGTTGTATGTAAGTGCTGTTGCTGAGCATGGGTACATCAGAGCATTTAGTCTCATTCCTTTTTGTATTGGGCTTTCACTTATTTTGGTGCATAAATTAAATTAAATTTCTGTGGTGAATAATCATCCTCAAGGTTCTTGAAGGTACATCTGCTCAGGAATTACAGCTTTAACTTGACTTGAAAAGAAGGCTACTGCTTTACATGTCTGCTCCTGAAGATTTAAACAAAAGGCCGATCTGCACATTTTGCAGTCAAAAATATGGTTGTAGGGGTTTGCATAAATCTACTTGTAGGATATATTCTGTCAAATTGTACATTTTCAAAATACAGATCTAGGCCATTTAAAAAAAATGCTGATTCATTTTTGCATCTTCTGCATTTATTTAATGAAAATGAAAGACAAAATGAAGAAACTGACATGGTTTTGAGCAGCTATAGCTGTACTTGCTCAAATACAGATGTGAAAAAAGCCCTTTTGATGAGGATACTTTCTTTGAAGTGAAACAGCAGGTGATCAATAGCTGTTAAAGATACCAATACCTCAATACCACACACAAATATTGTGAAAATGTGTGGTAGTATAGCTAGACTTTTTTCACACATTCTTTCTCTTGCAGGAAATTAGTATGGCATTTAATAGAGTAATAATCTATTGTCATAATTTTCAATCAGTCTTGGAGTTCTGTAATAGAAATATAACCCTCCATTAAATCCTAAATGTTTTGGAGTAATTTCAACAACACACTATAGTATTTTCTAGAAACCTGTTCAGATTTAATGTTTAAATTATCTGTAGGATTTAACTGTCAGGATCATAATGCAGGCCATAAAACTTGGAAGAAAAAGGAATAAAAAGGCTTCTTGGGGCTTAATGCAGAACATTTAGTTAAGAGCAATACATAAATAAACAAAAAAAATTGTTGTCCCATTTACACAGAAAAATTTTGTGGAATAAAGATATTAGCCACAGGGTGGTGCAAGTCAAAGGCCATCTATTCCATCTGTTACTCAGCAGCACTAACTCCTGTGACTACCAGCTTTCCACAAGAGGAAATTATCTCTACTCAAAGCTGATGTGTTTTCCAACTTGGTGCACCAGTACTGAATAACCAGAGACACCTGATTGAATGGACAACCTCAGGAATGATTTTATTTTTTAATTGAATGAGGTCACAATCATGTTGAACAAGACTAATAATAGCTCCAACTGTACTGTTGGAACAATGTTCAAAGTAATTGTCTTGTCAGTTATATATAATAAGATAACAAGCACCTGGTCTGTGAGAACTAAAGAGACAAACTTGTGAGAGTGGGTATGAATTTGGGTCTGTGGAATGGCTTTACTTGAGCAGTTTTGATTTATTTATGAAATAGAGAAAAAGTTGTCAAAACATCCCAACTACCTTTTGGTAAATTTTTAAACTTATGTATATAGTCATGTAAACAATTGCACACACAAAATACTATTTAAAGCATCCTGACAGCAGTGTGACTTCAGGATGCAGCAGAATGAAGAGTACAGAAGCCCAGGAAAGGAGCTGCACGAGGGCAGAGAGCTCTGAGGAAAAAATAGTAACTAAAAGGCTGATGAACAGAAAAGACCAGAAGAGAATTTATGTTGCTTTTTAAGTGACTAATCATGTTTTCATGCCTTTTTAAAAGTATAATAACAACACTATATTTTGAGCCTGCCAGGGGAGGGACTATGTTAGTCCTGTTTGCAAATAGAGATGGGCTGGTGGGAGATGTGGTGGTTGGAGGCTGCTTAGGACACAGTGATCAGGAAATTACAGAGTTCTCAATATTTGGTGAAATCAGGAGGAACAACAATGAGACTTATACAGTGGACTTCTGGAGGACAGACTTTGGCCTGTTTAGGAGACTTATTTAGAGAGTTCCTTGGGAAGCAGCCCTTAAAAACAAAGGAGTCCAGGAAAGGTGGGTGAGCTTCAAAACAGAGATCTTGAGGGCACAGGAACAGACTGTCCCTGTGTGCTGAAAGATGAGTTGACAAGGCAAATATCCAGTGTGGATGGGCAGTAAGGTTTTGAATGAACACGGGAATAAAAAGAGGAACTATCATCTTTGGAAGGAGGGTCAGGTCTCTCAGGAAGTATTTAAGGGGGTTGCTAGAGTATATAGAAAAAATATTAGAGTGGCCAAAGCTCAGTTCAAACTTAGCTTGGTAACTTTAGTAAAGGATAATAAAAAATGTTTTTTCAAATATGTTAACAGCAAAAGGAAGGGTGAGACCAACCCTTGTTCTCTACTGGATGTGGGAGGGAACTCAGTAACTTCAGATGAGAAGGCAAAAGCACTTAATGCCTTCTTTGCTTCAGACTTTAGTGGGAAGACCACTTGTTCTCAGGGCAAGCCTGTTGGTAGACGGTGTCAGGGGGCAGAATGGTCCCCCTTTTGTCCAGGAGGAGGCAGTCAGAGAACTGCTGAGCTGCTTAGATATTCATAAATCTTTGGGACCTGATGGGATCCATCCCAGGGTGATTGAGGGAGCTGGGAGATGAGCCTGCGAAACTGCTCTCCATCATTTACCAGCAGTCCTGGCTCACTGGTGAGGTTCCAGATGACTGGAAGCTGGCCAGTGTGATGCCAATTCACAAAAACGGTGGGAAGGAAGATCCTAATTATAGGTCAGTTAGCCTGACCTCAGTACCTGGTAAGGTTATGGAGTAGTTCATATTGCGTGTCATCACTCAGCACTTACAGGATGGCCAGGGTATCAGACCCAGCCAGCATGGGTTTAGGAGGGTAGGTCGTGTTTGACCAACCTGGTCTCCTTTTACGACAAAGTGACCTGCCTGGTGGATGCAGGAAAGGCTGTGGATGTTGTCTGTTTGGACCTCAGAAAGGCCTTTGCCACTGTCTCCCCACAGCATCCTCCTGGAAAAGCTGGCAGCCCGCGGCTTGGACAGGTGGACTCTGTGCTGAGTTTAGGAACTGGCTGGATGGCCGGGCCCAGAGTGGTAGTGAACGGTGCTGCACCCAGCTGGGGGCCAGTCACCAAAGGTGTCCTCAGGGCTCTGTGCTGGGGCCAGTTCTGTTCTGTATTTTTATTGATGACGTTGATGAGGGCATTGACTCTTTCATTGGTAAATTTGCAGGCAACACTAAGCTGGGAGTGTTTGTCGATATGTTGGAGGTAGGAGTGCTCTGCAGAGAGACCTGGAATGGTTAGATGGATGGGCAGAGTTCAATAAGATGATGTTTAATAAGTCCAACTTCTGAGTCCTGCATTTTGGCCACAGTAAAGTTATAGGCTAGGAACGGTGTGGCTGTACATTGCCCAGACGGAAAAAGACCTCGGGATCAACAGCTGAACATGAGCCAGCAGTGTGCCCTGGTGGCCAAGAAGGCTAATGGCATTCTGGCCTGCATCAGGAATAGGGAGGTCATCCTTCCCCTGTACTTGGCACTGGTGAGGCCACACCTTGAGTGCTGTGACCAGTTCTGGCCCCTCTATTTGGGAAGGACGTTGAGACACTTGAGCGCGTCCAGAGGAGGGCAACGTGGCTGGAGAGGGGCTTGGAACACAAGACTGAAGGAGCTGGGGTTGTTTAGCCTGGAGAAAAGGAGAATTAGAGGTGACTTTAGGAGAATTAGAGGTGACCTTATCAGTCTCCAGAACTCCCTGAAAGGGTGTTTGTAGTCAGGTGGGGTTTGTCTCTCCAGGCAGCAACTGACAGAACCAGAGGACACAGCCTTAATCTATGCCAAGAGAAATACAGGTTGGATATTAAGAATAAGTTTTTTATGGAAAGAGTGATAAAGTACTGGAACGGCCTGCCTGGGGAGGTGGTGGAGTCACCATCCCTGGATTTCTTCAAAAATAAGATTGGATGTGGCACTCAGTACCATGGTTTAGTTGAGATGTTGGGGCATGGGTGGGACTCACTGATCTTGAAGGTCTCTTACAACCTAGTGATTCTGTGAATAATTCTCATAAGTGTTGTACTGATTTAGAGCTTTTTGAATGTTTTCTCTATGTGACTGTTTTTTGCTACCCTTAAATTAGTGTGTAGCTTGAAAATAAACCTATAATTTTTAAACATGGCAATGAGAATACTAGTTCATATAGAAGAGTCCAGATTGATGGTGTCTCGGAACGGCCATCATCTTTCACCAGTGCTCTGGCAGTACTGCTGTGCAGAGGGTAGCAGTCTAGAGTCATGTAACCCAGCATTCCCTCATGCCTTTGTGAGACAGTGTCAATTAGGAATAGAATTGGACATGTATAAATTAGCAGTATATTGAAATAGAAATGGTATAATGTTCCTCAGTGGTGACAAAAAGATGCCATGTAGCAAGTTGCTAGTAATTCTTGGGGGCTTTACCTCAAAAGAAATAAGAATTTGGTGGTTTTAAGTAAGATCTAATTTGTGTCCCAACTAAACAATAAATTACATGATTATATAAAGCTAGACTCCTTTTTAAATCAATGCATTTGATTTATTATGTGAGCAAGATACTAAAATTAGTTTGTCTAGTGAGTGATGCAAGTAAAAATAGGCTGGTTTTGTTCTCAGAGGTAGTCACAGCACTGACGTCCAGGATCAGCATGTGATTAATTTAGATAGTTTTTGCAAATATATGTATATTCTGGCTCTCAGTGCTGTTAATCATGTGCCAGTCTCAGCATGGTGAGGTTTCTTTATTATGATAACATTTTAGACAATGGCACTGAGAGAAGGCCAGAAGGTGCAGAAGGTCTGGATTCAACATGTCTAACTGTAACCAGTATCTATCCCTATGTCATTCCTGACAGATATTTGTTGTATCTGTTCTTAAGCCTCCAGTAGTGGGGACTCCTGCACGCTGCTTCTCATGTGGCCTGTTCCAGAGTTTTCTTAACCTTTTCATTATGGTGCTTTACTTTGTGCCTCATTTAAGTGGCTTTTTTCTTCTGTTTTTCCCCCTGCAATTCCCATTTTCTGTCCAGTATACCATAAACTTAGCAACCAGATTTTCTTCCCTATTTAGCAGTAGACTTTTAGCATTTTGATTGTTTCCAGAAATGGAGCATCTAGTATACTCTGGCCAACCTGTTACTGTGTTACCATCCTCATTATAAAATATTTCTTCCTTATATCTATTCTGAATATACCTTTGTTTAGTTTAAAACCATCACCTGCTTTCCTATTGCTACAGCTCCTGCCAAAAAGTCTGTCCCAGATTTGATTATCATTTCCCTGATAAACCATCACTTGTACAGATAGAAGAAATCAATTCATCTGGTCTGTCATTTTTCAGTTGAATTTTCTTAACTAATCATTCTTTCTATTCTCCACTGAACTCTTTTCAATTATTTTATTAAAGATGAGCAGGAACTCTGAAGAATTATAAATAATCTTGCAGGACTTTGTGATTAAGCAGTAAAGTAGTAGATGAAAATCAGCATAGATTACTCTTAACTGAAGGACACTGGAGAAAAAACAAACCCTAAGTTCACATTCACAATAATTGACTGTGAGTTTGCCATTCCATTTGATGTTCAAGACCTCAGGATATGAGGAACAAACATCAGCTCAATTTGCTGCAGTTAACAGTAAAGCAGAAGCTATAATGGTTTAGAAGGGATAGAGGACAAAGTAGAAATCATGCTGTCACGACCCTGCATTTGGAACTATCTTACGTTCTTATCCCTTCCATAAAGGTATAGCATAATGGAAGAGATTCAGAGAAAGTCTGGCCAATGGTTGGGAAAGGTTTACAGACAGAAAGACAAAATTCTGTAGGACTGTTCAGCTTCATGAAGGGGGAGAACAGACTTCTAAAGAACATGTGTCACAGTAGGGATGACCATTGTCCTCACCAGTGCAGAACTAAACACATCAAATGAAACTTTTTCAGGCTTATACCAAATTAAAAGAACAGAAAGCTGGAGAGGGACTTTTTACAAGGGCATGTTGTAAAAGGGAAGGGGTAATGGCTTCAAAGTGACAGTGGGCTTAGATTGAGTCTTTATTTTAGAAAAAAAATTAGACATTAGATTTATAAAAAGTCTTTACTGTGAGGGTGATGAGGTACTGAAACATATTACCCAGAGAAGCCGTAGATGCCCCATCCCTGGAAATATTTGGGGACAGGATGAATGGGACTTTGAGCATTCTGGTCTAGTGCAAGGTGGGAGGTTGAGACTAGATGACCTCTTAAAATTTTAGCAACCCAACCATTCTCTGATTCTTGATGTAGCAAGTTAAGATTGTACCAAAGAGTTAGATCTTTCACAAGGTTAGTGATGTGTATTTATTACTGAGTACAAGATGAGATGGGAAAGAAAAGAATCACTAAAGTTAATTAAACACACTTGTTGATGAAGAGAGGAAGTATTGAATGACTAATGACTGAATTCTGGAGGAGTTTCTGGGGAAAGACGTTTGTCATGGTCTATTGTTATGTGCCTTTGCAATCGTTGGAGACAATCTTACTGAGGTAGATGCAGCTATAGTAAAATAATTTTATATTCTGCCTTAATTTTTATATGTATTCTAGTTGTTTTTTCTGTCTTTATCACCCTTTATTTGCCTTAAAGAAATCTAAGGACGCAGTATGTTTCTGTGGCACACATTGATTTGCATACAATCTGAGAGCCCATCTGTGTGTAAACAGCTAGCCTTTTTCACATACTGTTTCAGCCCATGACAGTAAAACAAAACCATGTCAATTATCTGTGTACCTGATTTCAGTCAAATGAAAGGTCTAGTCTTACTCTAAGACTAGAACCAATTATTATACCTATTTTACATCATGTGCACCTGGTACTGCAGCTCTGGTAGAAATACAAATTATCTTTGGTGCTTCACATCAATTTAAGATTACACAGTAAGAATTCTGAGGTTATAAATTTTATTCTCTATTATTTTATTATTTTGTTCTGAATTTACATAGTTCAGGAGAAATAAATGGAGAGTCAATATATTTATTATTGATAAAACAAGGAGTTTCCATCTCCTTTAAAATTATAGAAAAACACAGTAAGCCTAACAGATATTTCTTTATTGTGACTACTTTACATCAATAAAACTGCAATTTCAGAGCTAGACCTCATAATTCAAAAAGAAATTTTACTAATTTCTTTGATATATGTAAGCTGGTATGTTTGCAGAAGAGGGTGTTTTTCACACAATAGTTCATGGTATATAAATATTGTGCATGTTTTATCCATTTCCTCCTTACTAGATGAATCAGTGAGACAAAAGTACTTTCATTATTGGTTTTGAAAGGATCAGTTGAGGTAGATTTTATTTTTTCCCTGCTTTAAGTGGGGATTTTAGACTAATCAATCTTAGGAGGTTCCTGTCTAGTTGTTTGGGGTTTGTTTTTGAGATTCTCTAATTATAAAGGACGATCAGGACCTGCATTTTTCTAATCCTTATTTAGTGCCTGAGTTTAGGTCCTTCTTTGTTAGTTTCATTTAGTATATTCATAGAAAATCTGTATTATTTGCTTGTTCAAAAATTCATAGGAAATAAGTGACATGTCAGAAAAGAACTTTATCTATGACTTCTACATGGAAGGATGACAAAAATCAAACAAATTGAAACAAGATGTGTTTGGATTGTTTTAAACCATAAATGTTAATTTTTTTTAATAATTATCTTTTAAATTAGCAAGACCTATATGTGCGTATTCATTTGGCGACAACTGGCAAGATTTTTGTTTCTCTATTGCTTCAACTTGTTCCTCACCTTAGAAGATACTAGTTGTTTTGGGAGATGAAGCCTATGTGTTAATTATAATCAAGTTATGTTTATCTACAAAACTCAGAAAATTTCCTAATTTATTGTGGGATAAATGAAGTAAAGTTGTTGTTCTTCATCCACAGGGTGCAAGAGTACAAAACACAGCCAAGAATTTAGGAGTGAGGGATCGAACGCCACAGTCTGTGCCAAGGTAACTGATTCTTTGTGTCCTAGACCATGGTTTTGTCTACTTTGTGCCAAATTCAGTCCTAGCTGCTCAAAAGCTAACAGTAAATATTGACTATATTATGCTCTAGCTGGTAAGATTTGGCTCTTAATGAACATAAAATCAGTTGCACTCCTAGCCATACAATTTTACTTCAAGTGATTAGTTGCAGAAGTCTGGGCTATGTAACACTTCAAAACATGCCAATTTTTGAAGAATGAATCCTAGTTTATGTTAATTATAAAAACACTGGAGTAAGTCCTTCATCACTTGTAATATGTAGTGGTATATTTGGGTAACTCTTAGTACTTATAGTGCTAAGTATACTTACTATTTGGGTAAATACTCTTAACAAGATCAATAACCCCATTTTAATGAAATACTGTACTGCAGTACCTCAGCAAAATCGTGTTCTAGTTGCATTTGAGGATGATGTAGTCTTTCTTTGTCTCTTTCTGAAACATGCATTACAATGAAAAATGGGTTATTCTATATTTATCCAGCTTTTTAATGTTGTGATGGATTGCAGGTGCTGGAAATATTTTTTTAAAAGCACAATACTTGTAAATAAAAACAACCAAACACTTCTTAATCTGATCTTAAAATGGTTTTAATAGTCCAGAACTAACTTAAATTGGATTTTAGTGATTTAAACATAATGTATTTGTTGACTAATGAGAATACATTAAATGAGCTAGATATATATGTAAAATACATAACAGATCCACTTTGGTGTTTAAATTTCAGTAAGGAAAGAGGGAACTAGTAAAACTTGATAGAGATGACCATATGAATCTGATTAGCTTAGAGGCAGTCCAGGACCAAAGATCCCTGATCAGCTGTCTTGCCTTGTGGGAATCCATGACAATAAAATAGCATTTGTTACATTAAAAGCAATTAAAACATTAGTGGGAGAAGACTTTTCATAATTTGAACAGTATGATTTGCACCTTAAATGAACTTCTTAATGACATAATTCTGGAGAGAGCCAAAGAATTCTTGCAACCCAAACTTTTCCCATCCCAACATGACAGAATGTTTATCTAGATTCAGAGTTTTTGTGAAAAAGGAAAAATCTAAGTTCTCAAAAATTGAAATTTAGCAATAAGATTTTTTAGCATTGCATCTGTGGATAAAGACTGCCTCTTTCCAGCTGAAACTCCCACAATGTAGCACTGAAATGCTGAAGAAGAATGATGAGAACATAGAGCAGACACACGTACCTGGCACACTTGCCAGTAAGCAGCAATAGTAATGTCAGGAGTATCACAGACCTCCATGGTCAGGGCATTAGATGCACAAGTCAAAATAGTCATCAGCAGTATGCTTTTGATGTATAGCTAAACAAAACTATGGCTTCTCATTTCTCTGCTTTGAAAACAGTTTTATATTTGGTTTCAATTAACATCACTTTACAGGGTTCTCTTGTCTGCAACCACCACTGTTTCTGTTTCCTCAGCTGATGTTTGTACCATCTCAAATAGTTGTTCCATACATATTGACCCAGAACAGGCTATTTCTGCTCTATAGCACCTTCAGCAACTTCAGATCCTTAGAGATTAATGCAGCCTTATCATTATTTTGCTTCACAGTTCCTTTATATCACATGCTCTGAAGACAATCTTAGTGATTACTGCCATAACCTGAAGAATACACAGACCTCAGTACTTGGAAATGAAGTTTTCTGCACTTTACACCACAGAAATTAGTATCATCAAGTATTAACCCCACTGCAATTACTTTAGATTAGATTCTGACTGTAATTTTATCTGTCTTCTGCCAGCTTTGAATATTACTGCTTTATTACGCCAGCAAAATCAAATAATTAAACACCTGTTTATTTTTCTCTGCATCCTTGTCTGTATAAAGATCAGACCTTGTCCTCTCATCAGTATAAAAATATTAGATATATGTTTATTGCCTTATATATAGCTCCTAACAGATGTTTTGGTGTCTGCACAAAGTGACCTTAAATGATTGTGTTTCTGAATATGTGCCATATGACTATGTGGAAGAGCCCAATGATCTTTAGAACACATTATGGTAGAGATTTCTCTTTGTTATTCCTCCAATAATACATTTTCCCAGAGGAATATGTGTAATCTCCAAATGAGATCATGTCTATGGCTGGTTCTAATTTCTGTGGTTTCAGAGGAGATAGTGTATGCTGGTCAGGAGTACAGAGCAAGGGGTGTGAGGTCAGAATGATTGCCTTTTACATTCAGTATTTTTGTTGTTAGGGTTTCAAACACCTGTTAATAACCAAGTCCTTTCAAAAGGGGTTAATAAAAGTCCAAAAACCTTTATAAAAGCAGTGGCTATTTTGACCTGTACTGAGGTAACAATTTGAACCAAATCTTACTGTTGTTGACATCATCAATAAAGAAGCAGAGGGAGAGAGAATTTAAAATCTGCATGCTAATTTCACGCAGCAGTTCTTCAGGGAAATATTTTTAGGAAGCTTTGACTGGGCCAAGACAAAACAGAATTGGAGGCAATTACATTCACCAAGCAGCTTTTCCAAATGAGAAATCCAGGGCAACAACTCCTAATAGGATTAATGAAGGCATCTTCAGTACAGAAATATGAAATTTTTTTGTATTGAAATGTGTTTATAAGACTGCTTATAGATGTGTTTTAATGATTCTACTTTCAGTGTAAACAAAGATTTTATTAGTTTTACATTGATGGTATTGAACTAAATTCATACCTTTTGTTTTGCAGTGCAGAAAGATGTAGCTTTAATTTTTGTTCCTTAAATTTACTCATTTTAATAATGACCATTCTCAGAATAATAATTGCTTTGTTTGTTTGTCATTGTCAGATTATACAAACTGTGCCAGCCACCACCACCTGTTGGAGAAGAATGAGAAGACCTGCTCTAGAAAACAACCCAGTAATGGCCTTGAGGATACTGGGATTATATGACAAAAATCCAACTGCACTATAGCAGTATGTCCCTGCAGCTTTGATAAATAAGATTAAAAAAAAATCTTTTACTCAGGACAAAGGAAAAATTACCCTAAATATTACCTATTGGCATTGAAAGATGTCTTCCCAAAAGCATTTCTGAAATCTGTGCACTCCAGCCTTACACTCATAGGACAGTACTCTTCCTTGGGAATTTAACACTGGAATCAGATTAATTTGATGTGTATTGTTCAGCCACATAATAGGTATAGCCAGCAGCTTAAAAAAAAAGTCTTGGTCAGAGGGGATGCCTTCACTTGCACACTATGCACAATGTGATCTTGTGGAAGCCTAGATAAACTAGGCTTGATAATGAGCATGCACTTCATATGGGGCCCTTTGCACTTGAGAAAGCTTTTTTTTCCTGTCACCATCATAATTTCTTGGAATGTTAACTTTACTGTTTCAAGAATATAATGTGAGGTTTAAAGATGGAACGCTTACTTCAGAATTGTGTTTAGTGGCTGCAGGCAGCTGCTGTGGGTGTGTGCTTGCAGTCAGTAAACTCAGCCATGTCTGAAGCAGGGCTCGTCACACTGCTGTGGGAGGAGGACCTACATGGCATTAGCAGTGCCTGATGGTGTGTGGCATATAAGCTAAAGTTCTGCCCTTTTGCAGCTGCCATGATAATGAAGGAGAAGGATGAGTCTGATCATCATCCATTGTTAGGCTGAGTTTCAGACTCCAGTAGATATTTTACATTATTACATCTCTGCACTTCAGAGTTTTCCAGAGTTGTGTATTTTCTTCTATAGCACTACACTAACAAATCTACATTAGGCAGAGATGAGTCAGTATAGTTAAACTGGAAATGACTGGTTGAAGTTCAAGCATAGTTTGGGGTTTTGATGTCTTATGCTACCATTTTCCACATTTTGTCAGAATTGTTTTGTATAGCATCTCAGTTCTTTGGAGTGGTAATTGTTAAAGATTTATTTTGAAATTGTACTAACTATTTAGAGAGCCCAGGGAGAATTTATCTGCATTTGGCTGTTCTTTTGGCCAAAGAATTTTCATTTTCAAATGCCCCCAGATGAGGATTTATGTATGAGCACATTAAACAAAAACTGTATTCTGAAATAGTTTTACCTGTAGCAGTAGCTATGTATTCCATTAGAGCAAGACACATACAGTCTGAATAAAATTTATTTTTTGTACAACAGCGGCCTGTAGTTATGCTGTACCAATCAAACCTCACAACATAATTTTTGCATATGATCTAAATATTTATGAACCTATCAATTGACAATGAAATAAGTGAGAATTCAAAAGGAATTGTACTCTTGAAGATAGTGGGGTTTTCTAGAGGATATTTGGGGAACTTGTTGCTTTTCTCCAAAGGAGGAATTAGAGCTCCTACCTTTTTCAGTATTCTAAATGTTTATAGACAGACCTTAACTTTGGTAAGAAAATAAATATTTTTATATATCCACAGATATACATGTCTGTGCATATATGTATGTTTCAACATGTATGTATTTATGTAGTCATATCAATAAAAAGAGAATGTTTACCTTAAACTATGACAAAGGCATGCAGTAATGAACATTCCACTAACAACTGCACCTTTGTGCTTTAAGGTTTACTCTCTTTCATAGTTACTGGAAGCTATTGAACCATGATCTTTTTGATTAAAATACTTAATACAAAAAAGCAAAATCAAAATTTAAAAAAAATTGCTTTTAAAGGCTTTTGTCTAGCATGACCTAATGCTTACACATAAGAAAGAATTATGTTTTCTATAATTGCTGTTCCAGTCAGGATCTCATACTTTCAGATGTGTTTCATTCAGAGTATTGGCTATGGTAATTCCTGCTCCAGGCAAAAGCACCAGTTTCTGCTTGTTCAGATATCAGAATTACAGAGAAGCCATAAGCACCTCAAGCCAAGGGTGTGCTGCTGTCAGCCTGGCTCTGAGCTCACATCTTCCTGTGAGGTTTCCCCACATGAGGTTTGATTTACTATGAGGGAAATCAGCTGTTGGCTGCATGGAGCTGCTGAGCCTATATACAATAAAATAACCTAGAGGACAAAATCTGTTGCATGTACATGCATTATTGTAAGCAGTAATTGCCTTTTTTTTTGTATAGCTTTGAAAATGGTAGGAGTGTAAATGCTCTTAAATAGTCTCCTTATATAATATGATAATTCCATGTTTCATTTTGTTGTTGAAATCGTGGGATAATAGACATTTGTAAGGGACAAATAATTATAAGCCAGTCAATGGACAAAATTTTTTAGCTGTTGTTTCATGAGTGTGCATCAGAAATCTTGACCTCTTATTTTGGTCATTTTATATCTAGCTTTTTGTCCTTTGTTCTTTTTTTCCTCATCTAGAGTCAGTTTCCAAAAACCTATTAAGCATTATGAGCTTTATTAGTGACCCATACTGCAAAGTAAAGTGTCTATTTAGCCTGGTATCAAAGAAGCTGAGAAACTTAAGCCCTGTTTTTTTGGGATAACAGATAACACGTAAAAATGTGATTCCACAGTAACATACAGAATCAATTAGGTTGGAAAAGATCTCTGGGATCCTTGACTCTAACTTATAGATAGAGTCCAGCCTATTTTCAGAGGAAATGGGGCATAAATGGCCCCCTTACTGTGTATTAAAAAGTAGGGACCTATTTCTCAAAATGTTCTTCAATGGCCTGTATGAAACATTGTGTAGTATTCAGATTGCTTTTCTTGCCCCTCTGCTTTCAGAGAACACTGCACATTCTAACACCATTCTATTGACTTCTAATAACATTAAATGGACTTTATTATTCATTCTTAAAATATAAATTGACGTATGTTTATTATTAAACCTGTTTGTCTTGTTTGGTATATGTATAGGACATATTTATTCCTTATACAAGATGCACTTGCAGAGTAAAAAAATATCCATTCCCATCACAGGATGTTTATCCTCTTATAAATTTTTAAACTCAGAGGTGACAAGAAGAGATGACCAAGAGTGATGATTTACAAGAATTGTATCACCTATAGCTTCTTAAATCTTTGCTTTGACAGAAACGGGTTATGTAGCCTTTTTGTACAATGTGTTGTACTGGTTTAGGGAAAGCATTCTGTCTGTAATTTTTACTTTTTCCCCCAAGGAAAGTATAATTCTTTTGGGAATAAATTCAAGGATCTAATGGTAATGTATGACCAAATACTACCATGATTCAATGCTAGCCTGGGAAGGGAAGGTTACAGGCCCAGGAACAGCTGAGTTGCCATAGCATCCATGCTTAGAGAAAACCTAGATTTTAAGTAGAGCTGAGGATGTTTGGCCTATCTTTGTAACCATCATCTATGAATAATAGGATGTTAAACAGTCTTTAGTCTATGAAATGGACATTGATCCACTCTAGTTCCCCAAATTAGTTATTTTTAATAGTTATTTTCCTTGTAGATTGTAAATGTAAATAAATATAAAAATGTATATAGTCCAGTTTTTCAATGTCAAACTTTGTGTTTAGAGATCCATTCTAAAGTAAATATTCCTGCTGTCAGGTGAAGCAATCAACCAGTTTCATGTCTACTGAGACAGTTGGAATCCTTAGTAGCTTTTTGGGTAGAGTTCACTGGGTTTTAGCAAATGCATCAGGTTTTTGGATTGGTTTGTATTTGTTTATTTTAATGCACTCAGTAGTGGTCAGAACTCCTCCTGGTTTAGAGCCAAGACAATTAAACTTCAGTCAACAAGGATTTATAGTAGTTATACCTAATTTCATTTATTAGACTCTTTTAATGGAAAAAATTAACCATTTCTATTGATCTGTTTTTAGCCAGAGCAATTCACAAGCAAACATGTTTTATTAATTGATTGTCAGATGTAGTATGTGTGTGTGTGTGTATATATATATATATACATATTTAAGACAATTGCCTGAATGTGAGTATACACATCATGGTTAAGCATGATGCTCAAAAAAGGAAAGTGTCTTTCATTTCATTTAAATGAGAAAATCTGTAACTGTAGTATATATCTACATATTGTTCCATACTCTTTACAGGTCCTTCATGGATATGTCTTCCAGCATTTTACGCATATTTTGCGCCATTTGTCTTTACCAGTATGAAAAGATAATGCATTGCCTTATGTATTTTATCTCTGTACTTGATAAATGCAGGTAGTGTTTTTCTAATTTTACTCGAACAGTACTTTGGCACTGTTAAATTAGATGTGCAGTACATACCTGACTCAGGATATCTGGATATTTCATCATTAGGTTTTGAAGTATAAAAAGATATTGAACTCATATTTTTGTATGCTGACAATTGTGTAGGTTTTTTTATATACTGTATATATCAACCAAGTTTTCCTAAAGAAATTTTATTATTATGAATGTTTCCCTTTTCCTGCTAGATGTGGGTATATGTTTTCTTGTTATGTATGTAAAAATGAATATACAGCATGCACAGTCATGCAGATGTTAACACCAGTGAGAAATTTGAGATTGTCCAGAGGCTAATCAAGCTTTTTTAAGTGTTCTTCTCTAAAAATATAGATCTCCATACTAGAAATCCACTTTAGAAATAACTTCTACTTCAGTTTGAAAGTCCAGTAGAGTGCTCAAAGTAGTTGGGACATTTCTGCAAGTTCTTAGATTCGAACTTCCGTGGGAATATCCACAACATCTTCTGTGTGTGTATGTGTGTCCTCTCTGCAGTACTGTACACCAGATTAAAAAAACTAAGCAGCCTTATTAACTTCTTTACACTGTGTATATAGTGTATGTATTTGGTTATACTTGTGTCACACTTTAAAAATTAACCTAATTTCTGCATTGTGTATTGCACACATTTTTCAAATTAAGAATATATTTTGTAACATCTCATTAAGTACAAGGGACTATTTGAAATATGAGAAAGAGTGCTTTGAAATATTATGTGTAAGTACAGCCATACACAGAATGTTTCAGTCAGCTTTTGTTTGAAACAATCAAACTAGCAGTTCTATGGGTAGTTGAGTTTGTTGGCAGTAACCTTTGGAATTAAAATCCTTAGAAGATGGATTTAAATTACTTTTTCCTTTATTTTGTAAAGTGCCTCTGTAGCATACTTTGAATCAGTTACTATATTGATTATGGTTAAAACTAACACTGTACTTTTAGATCTATGGTTTATTTTTTTAGTTACATAGTAAAGACTGGAATGGTAACAATGTATTATAAAATGTCAGCAATAAAACCATTCATAATATGGCCACTGCAAACCTCTTTATTTGTAAGCAAGAAGTAAGTTGGGAGGGAGGGAGGGGGTTGAGGGGCTTAAGACTTTTCCGTGTGCCTGCCTAGGAATTCTGCTGCAAAAGAACAGAAATTAAATTTCTAGAAATAAATGTTTATAATAACAATCTCTTCTGCAAACCCAGGTCCAACCTAGGCTCATTGCTGGTAATTGAAATATATCTTTATAACTACTGGAAAACTGAACCTGCATGAGCAGTAACCCATGGCTTTGGGCAGTTGTACTTTGTGAGGGCTGGAAGAGACACAGGCATGGAAACTGTGTTTTGGCCCTCAGGAAGCTCAGGAATATTGACCATTTCTTCACGTCTTTGTCTGAAGACTTTCTGCTTATTGCTGTGTACAAGGGGTAATCTGACAAGCATAGTGTGGTGTTGTAGTCCTTGTACTAAAAAACCACCAGTAAATGACACATCCTTTAGAGGGATCTTTTGGGATGCCAGGGGGTTGAGGAGTTGCACTTGCACTGTTTCTTTTCTAGAACTGAAAGCTGATGAACTATTAGACCTTGCAGAGCAGTTGTCTCTATATTGAGTTCTGATTTCTACATTGTTGCAATCAATGGATGTTGAGGACTGAAAGGAACAGTGGAGACAGGACCAAAAGCAACTACAATTACTTTGTAAAATCCCTTTTCTTTTACATCTTATGCAAGCAAGGAGGAGGATGTAAGTATTTCTGGATAACTAGACTTGCAAGATAGATTTATTTTTTTTCCTTCTGTGTATTCACCTCTCTAATTTTGTGCAGGAAGGCAGAATGGCATGATAAAGTGTTCCGCAGCAGAAGTGACTACAGGATTTCAAATACAGTCTGCTTTTCTACCATTACAAGTTTCTTTTTTCGGTGCTCTGCTCCTCATTTCTGTGGTCTTGCTGCCATGAATACCTCAGAAATAAAGTCCAAAGAATTCTTTTCTTGATCAGTGTATACATTGGGAAGAAATAGTGCTTTGAAACAACTGCTGAGAAAGATAATCAATTACACCATGGTAGCAGTTGGGTGTCCAGTAATTTTGCATCTTTCATGAGAAAGTGTTGCTATCATCATGATTTGAAAGTCAAAAAGTCTGCAAAGGCACTTGATACACTTACATGTCAAATGAGCACTGTGTGAGTTCATGATTCAAAAAAGATAATATATCTTTGCCTCCTATCAAAATATGTGTCTGCTAAGCTTTGACAGTAAAGAGACTTCCTTTTGAATGTTACTCATAAACTTACTTTTAGTATGTATTTGATTGCTTTGGAGGCTTTTTTAATAGCTCATTATGTCATGCAGAAAGAGGATATATGAAGCTCATACTTGGCTTATACTAATGAAGTGGAATTGCTAACAGTTACTTCATACTTGCTTGTAGAATCTTAATTGTCTGAAACTACTTTCCCAGATAGTACTTGATTCCCTGCTCCCCCCTCCCTTCCTTATTTCCAAATTCATTTTGCTCTGTGGAGCTGCCAGGGTACTGAGTACACTAAAATGCCTGAAACAGCCTCATCCCTGCACTCACCGACCCTGTATTCTGGGCAGTAGCCTCGTATTCTGGGTGAACCTTGAAACCTGGGCTATGGGTAGCTTTGCCTGTAGTCCCACCTTCTGCTGTTTGTGATAGGACTTTCTGGATGGACCCTGAACCTGCTTCAATATCTTGCCCCGTCTGATCATCCCTGGACTGTCAAGTAGAGCCTTTTGTTTTCCTGGTCCTTTCAGGGGGAGGCCACTGCACTCTGTTCACCCACAAGTCCCAGCTTGTCCTCCTTCAGGGAGTGGACTGGCTCTTGCTGCTTCCCAGGAGGAATATCCAGTGCTGGTACAGGTTTGTCCATGTGTAACATAATCCTGGCTTGTGTTGTTTTGAAGCAGAAGAGTTAGATTAATGGGGAGGTGGGAGGGGAAGAGGAGATGCCAATTTCCAGTCACAAGGTAGATGGTAGGCTTCTTCCATTGATTTTCATCTTGGGACTAAGGGTAGCTTCCAAAAATGTGTATATCCCTAATTTGGCAAAAGGATTTGAAAATGGATCTCCAGAATGTAAAAAGGATTGGAGAGGGGGGAAAAAGACATTGAGTACTTAGGAGTGTAAGATAAAGCAAATGCTGAGCAGTGTAAACACAGCAGTGGAATGTCCTGAAGATCTGGCTTTAGTTTTTCCAAGTATTTAGCACAGTTGATGTTTTATAAACAACTGCATGCTTTATAGACGACTCAATATAAATTTTTAGAATTTTACTTATATCTAGATTTTTTTTAAGCTCTAAGTTTTAGCTAGTTATTAATTATTTAGAGTTCTTTATCAGGGCAGGAGGCATTTTAGCATCTGGAATAAATAATCAGTATCTTTCCCTGTGAAGTATAACAGCTTCTAAAAGTAGGAGGAAATTGTACTGGATATATTCTCGGAGCATAATCAAATGAAAGGAACACCAATAGGTTTTGATTCTGCTTTCATTTAAATGAATAACCAAATTTTCATTGACTGCAGAGAATGAATCCGTAATACCAGCACTATTATGCCAGACCCAGACTAGCTTGAATGGCTGTCAGCATGTTTAGTTCACCTAATT